TGGCTGCCACACCAATGTCCTGTCCCTCTCTCTGCCCCGCCAATGTCCTGTGCCCATTCTGCTTACCACACCAATGTCCTGTGCTGGTTCCTTTGGGTGCCACACCAATGTCCTGTCCCTCTCTCTGCCACACCAATGTCCTGTGCCCATTCTGGTTACCACATCAATGTCCTGTGCCCTTTCCTCTGGCTGCCACACCAGTGTCCTGTGCTGAGGCCACTGCCCAGGTGTCCCCAAGGCTGCCTGAGCTGGCCCATCCCTGTTTTCCATGCAGGAAAGCTGCAGGCCCAGCAGGGCTGAGGTGCAGATCAGAGATGAGGTTTTTGTTACCAGCTCATTTCATGCTGCCCCTGTACAACAGGAAATGTGGCAACCGTTTATGGTTAAAGCTTCTGTTTTTCTTCCTTTGGGGAGAGTTGCAGATTCTGCAGCAGAAACTTTGCACAACCGGAGGTTGGGGGTGATTTGTGAGGAGCAACAAGTGGCAGATCTGGCCATGCACTGCAGTGCTTCTCTTCCCAGGCTGTGGCTGCTCTTCCCAGGGCTCCTGCAGCACAGGACTGGTGCTGCTGGCCTGGTTTGGGTCTGGAAGCAGAAAAACAGAATATTTAGGTGTGCAGGACAGGGATGGATGGATGGATAGATGGATGGATGATGCCTGCTTGGGGGGCTCATGGTGTTGCCTGGCCTGAGCATCACATGAGCTGCAAGAAGAAGTAAGGGGTTGAGCCCTTGGATCCCCAGTGCCCTTAAGGGCTCCCCCATCCTTAAACAGCTCCTGGAGCTGGGGTGGCCCCACTCTGGGTCCTCTGGGACAGCTGGCTGGAGTTTGCCTTCATTTTTCTCCCATGACTTCACCGTGTGTCCCCAGGTTTCATTGGGACACTGTGACCATGGTGGGATGCATGCATGACAGAAATTACCAGAACTTTCTTTCCCTGGAGTGGGAGAGTGTGGGAGGAAGAGGAGCTGGGCAGGCTGCAGGTACCCCTGGGCTGCCCAGGGTGGGGAAGGCAGGATGGCAGAGCTGGGCAGAGCTGGAGTGTGTGGTGACATTGGTGACATGGTGTGACACCGGTGACATTGTGTGACACCAATGACGTGCTCCTGAGCCAGCCCCCTCCTGCTGGGAGTGCTTTGGGTTTGTTGGCAGCCAAAACCCTCCTCATGTGCTGTGTGCCTGCTGTGAGGCCCTGGGACTCCTGCTGCCCTGCTGTGCCGTGCCCCTCCATGGAAACCAAGCTGCTCTGAACTGCTGGCACTGTCCCTGGGCTGGGAACGTCACCAGGGGAGGGACCTGGGAGAGAAAAACTGCAGTGACAGGGACAGACAGAGCTGCTGGGCTCGCTTTGGCCATGGAGGGAGGGAGGGATGGATGATGGATGGATGGATGGATGGATGGATGGATGGATGGATGGATGGATGGATGGATGGATGGATGGGGGATGGATGGATGGATGGGGGATGGATGGATGGATGGGGGATGGATGGGGGATGGAGGGATGGATGGAGCCAGGGGAAGTTTGGACTGGATAGCAGTGAAAATTTCTTTATGAAAGGGAAATGGTGGAATCACCATCCCTGCAAGTGTTCAAAAGATGGATGGATGCATGGATGGATGGATGATGGATGGATGGATCCATGGATCCATGGATGATGGATGGTTGGATGGAGGGATGGATCGGTGGATCCATGGATGGATGATGGATGGATGGATGATGGATGGATGGTTGGATGGATGGATGATGGATGATGGATGGATCCATGGATTCATGGATGGATGATGGATGGATGGATGGATCCATGGATGGATGGATGGATGGATGGATGGTTGGATGGATGATGGATGGATGGTTGGATGGTTGGATGGATGATGGTTGGATGGATGATGGATGGATGGTTAGATGGATGGATTCATGGATGGATGATGGATGGTTGGATGGATCCATGGATCCATGGATGGTTGGATGGATGATGGATGGATCCATGGATGGATGATGGATGGATGGATGGATGGATGATGGATGGATGATGGATGGATGGATGGATGGATGGATGATGGATGGATGGTTGGATGGATGATGGATGGATGGATGGATCCATGGATGGATGATGGATGGATGGATGATGGATGGTTGGATGGATGATGGATGATGGATGGATGGATGGATGGTGGATGGACTCTCTCTGTGCCAGGTTGTGTTTGTGCCATGGCTGATGCTGTGGTGCCCTCAGCCCTGCAGCTCCAGCTCTCTCTGTGCAGGAGGGGACAGTCCCAGGGTCCCCTGTCCTCCCTCCCTGTGTGTTTGGTGAGGGGCAGCACAGCTGTGCCTGTCTCAGTGCTGTGGCATGGGTGACATGAGGAAGTGGAGGCTTTCTGAGAGTTCATCTTCTGTTAACTTATAGGGAAGGGGTGTGGGGTTTTTGTTGCTTTTCTTTTTTTTTTTTTTCCTTTTCCATCACGCTACTTTCAGAATCTCAACCCTCAGCACGGTTTCTAAAGTTGATTTTTAAAGACTCCCCTGCCACCCCAGCACCTGTGAGACACCAAAACTTGGTGCAGTGTGAGCCAAAGGACTCTGACAGACTGGGGAGTTCTGATAAATGGATATTTCACAGAATTCACAGAATCACTGGGTTGGAAGAGATCTTAGAGATCATCGAGTCCAACCCAGCCCCAACCCCTCAACTGAACCCTGGTGCCACATCCAGGCTTTGTTAAACACACCAGGGATGGGGACTGCACCACCTCCCTGGGCAGAACATTCCAGAACTTTATCACCCTTTCTGTGAAAAACTTTATGTGCAGTTCTCAAATAACCTGGGAAAGCTTTGCTTTTATTGTCATAAAATGCTTTGGATTGGAAAGAACCTTAAATGTTTAGGGGGAAGGGACCTCATCCAGTCCCACCCCTGCCATGGCAGGGACACCTTCCCCTGTCCCACGGTGCTCCAGCCTGGCCTTGGGCACTGCCAGGGATCCAGGGGCAGCCCCAGCTGCTCTGGGCCCCTGTGCCAGGGCCTGCCCACCCTGCCAGGGAAGGATTTCTGCCCAATATCTGATGTAAATCTCCCCTCTTTTGGTTCAAAGCCATCACCCCTTGTCCTGTCCCTCCATGCCCCTGTTTAAAGCCTCTCTCCCTCCCCTGGGCTTCACCCCAGCGTCCCTGCTGTCCCCTGAGTGCCACCCCAGTGTCCCTGCTGTCCCCTGGGTGCCACCCCAGTGTCACAGCTGCTCCATGGGGAGGGGGTCCCAGAGGTCTCCAGCTGTTTGCTGCTCTGGGGTGGAAATGGAGCAATCCTGAGCTGTCACTGGGGAATGGCCTCAGTGAACCCAGGGCTGCCCAGTCCCAGCAGTGCAGCCTTCCCTGCCTTGCCAGATTGCAACCAGGCTTTCAGTTTGTCCTCTGCTTGATTCTCCTCCTGAAAGAAACAACAAGGGTAGCCTTGGGCAATATTGGCTTATTTACAGTGTCCTTGTCCTGTGTGCTCTGGGGCTGCCTGGGAAGACACAAGCTCTGCTCCCCAAGATGCTTTTTTTTCCCTTTTTCCCCCCTTTTTTCCCCTTTTTTTCCCCCTTTTTTTCCCTCCTTTTTCCCCCTCCTTTTCCCCCTTTTTTCCCCCTTTTTCCCCCTTTTCCCCCCTTTTTTCCCCCTTTTTTCCCCTTTTTTCCCCTTTTCCCCCTTTTTTTTCCCCTTTATTTTCCTTTTTTCCCCTTTTTTTTCCTTCTCAGAGGTTGCAGTTTTCATTCTGAGCCTTCCCAGCCTTGATGGCACATCCCTTCACGCTTCCTGCTCCCTGCTAACGCCAGCTTCTGAGCAAGCCCACATAAAATCTGGGCAAAATGCATTTGCAGGCTGTCACCGGGGAGGGCGGTGAGTTCTGGGCAGGCAGCAGAGCTCTGAGCAGGGAGATCCAGCCCACTGAGCATTGCCCAAGGCACACAGAGCCTTGTTTGCTGCAGATTGAGCAGATAAAGCAGGCAGTGATGTGGAGGAGACCTGCCCTCGAGGGGAGCCAGGGGAGGTTTGGATTGGATAAGAGTGAAAGTTTCTGCATGAAAAGGGGAAATGGTGGAATCACCATGCCTGGAAGTGTTCAAAAGGCTGGGAACGTGACACTTGGGGACATGGTTTCATGGTGCTGTGTTGACAGCTGGGCTTAATCTCAGAGACCTTTTCTGACCTTAATGATTCTGTGATTATTCATTAGTGACATTTCCATGCTTGGCCTTCAGGCAGAGCCCACCTACAGGTCAGACCCGTTGGTTTTGGAGGAAATTCCCCCAAACCTGGGTGAGCAGCAGCCTCTGTCCCCTTCTGGGACAGCGGGCTGGGATTCCTGGGCTGCCTGATTTATTCAGTCACACAGCCAGCATGCTGCTCTTGTGTGCTTTTATTGCTCTGAGCTGTAATTTCCCAAGCTTTGGACAAGAGCAGTGAGAGATTTAACTCCAGCTTCTGCCTGGGTGAGCCCACTGGAAGCTGCTTGAGTTTTGAGCAGTCAGAGCTGTGAATACTGGAAATAGGATGGGATTTTTTTTTTCTTGCATTACTTTGAGGAGTCAGAGCCTTGAATACTGGAAATAGGATAGGATTTTTTTTTCTTGCATTACTTTGAGGAGTCAGAGCCTTGAATACTGGAAATAGGATGGGATTTTTTTTTTCTTGCATTACAAAAAGGAAATAAATGCTTGCAGCTGGAGGTGGCTTTGCTTTAAAAGTGGGTTTTAAAGGTTGGATTTTTGCCCTGGTTTGTAGTGGGATGCGTTACTGCTCCGTGCCACCACCTGGTGCATTTTGTGTTGCCTCCACTTCCTGTCACTGGTGTCAGAGGTGGTTTGGGGTTGGGATGTGGCATCCTGCCCATCTGGGGACAGTCCCCACCTGCGTCATCAGTGCTCAGGATCTGAGCAGGATCTGTTCCTGCTTTCAGGAGCTGAACAGATGGAGCATTACCCAACACACAAAGCAGCTAAAGCCCCACTCTTCTGATTGCAGAATGTGACACAAACCGTAGAAGAAGAAAAACCCGAGCCTCCAACCGTCCAGGAGATCAAACAGAAGATTGAAAAGTACAATGCAAAGGTCACCAACTGCCTGCTGATGAAACTGGTACGTGCTGGGCTGGTTTCCCCTCACACACACAGACTGGGGCTGGTTCCTGTGGGCCCTGAATGGGGCCAGCCTGTGGGGAAGGTGGCACTGGGGTGAGGGTGGCTGGCAAGCTGCTTTTCCTCCTGCTGGGCTTCCCAGTGTCACTGACACTCCAGGTGACAGCTCCCAGTAGAGCGTGAGACTCTTGATCTCAGGGTCGTGGGTTCGTGCCCCACGTTGGGCGCCAATAAATTGGAATTAAATACCAATATTGCCTGATGGAACCTGGCCCTTGCTGCTTGACCAAGGGTGGCAGCTGTGGTGGTTTCACCTCAGAGACACCTTTGGCTGGCTGGATGTGTGGTGGTTTCACCTCAGAGACACCTTTGGCTGGCTGGATGCGTGGTGGTTTCACCTCAGAGACACCTTTGGCTGGCTGGATGCTGCAGCTGGGTGCTAGAGACAAGTCCAGGCGTGCAGGAGCTCAGGTTTACCTCTGGTGGAGAGGCTTCAAGGCGAGGTGAAGGAAAAGGAGTCGGTTCTGATGGAGGGTTTGGATCCAGAGCTTTATTCTGGCCCACAGGCCTCTGAATGCAGCACCAGTTCCAACAGAGCAAAGAACCCCATGGTTGCTGTTCCTTTTAACCCCAGGGAGAAGGGGAGGGAAGGGGCAGGGAGCCACCAACCAGGTAAGGGGGGGGAAGTCTCAGGGGACAAATGACACCTGGATGGCCCAATGTCCCCAGGGCTGAGGCAGCTTTTGAACTCTGCCAATCACACCTTCCCTGCCTCCACCCCTTCCTGCTAGCACTGATCTCTGGCAAGGAGCTGCCACAAAGCCTTGTCCCAGATGGGGATGACTCATGGAGGAACCGGGGCTGTGAGCTGTTGGAAGTGGCTTTAGGAACACAAAACCTCTCTAGAGAGAGAAGCTCTGCCCTCAGCACTGCCAGGCTTCCTGGGTGCACTGTGCAGAACCAGGCTCTTCCCCTGATTCCTGCATTTTTGTGGAGCTGAGGGTGGGATAAGAGACCTGTGGTGGGATCAGGGATGATCTGTAACATGGAGATGTGAGAATCTCTTAAATGGGGAATAAAACATAAGGAATAAGTTTGGGAGATCCTGCTGAACCAGGGGTTTCAAATCCATATTAAGTGCAACTACAAATTCCATGCAATGGAATTTCCATAACTGCCTCATAGCAGCCCTGGTTTGAAACAAAACAAGATCCCACAGGCGAGAGAGGAAGGGATGAGTCACTACCAAGAGAAAATCAGCAGTGACTGTCCTGAAATTACTGGGTACTTTTGACATGATTAATGAGAAACGCTGGAACTCCCGGAGCGGGGGCAGCTCCTGCTGTCACCCCACACTTGTTGTGGTGGGAAAGGGGCTGGAAAAGCTTCCTGGAGCCTGATCCTTGTGTGCTTTGTCCCCAGAACGATGATGGGACCTACACAGGGTTCATCAAGGTGCACCTGAAGCTGCGGCGGCCGGTGACGGTGCCGGCCGGGATCCGGCCCCAGTCCATCTACGATGCCCTCAAGGAGGTGAACCTGGCTGAGATGACAGACAAGAGGACCTCCTTCTACCTGCCCCTGGATGCCATCAAGCAGCTGCACATCAGCAGCACCACCACGGTGAGCGAGGTGATCCAGGGGCTGCTGAAGAAGTTCATGGTGGTGGATAACCCCCAGAAGTTTGCACTTTTCAAGGAGATGAGGAAAGATGGGCAAGGTGAGTTCAGGGCCTGGCAGCTCTGCCTGGGGTTGGTGTGCTGTAGGACTCACTGGGGTGTCAGGCAGGAAAAGCCTAAATCCAGGTGAATCAATGGCCAGACCTCCACAGGTGCTTAGGGTAACAGGGAATTGAAACCACCTGAGACCTTACAGGGATCGTTAAGAATCTGAGACTCCGCCCTGCGATCCTGAGCATCCTTTTCCATGCTCCAGCTGATCCCCTGAGCTTCCCTCTGCCCTGGCAGCCCTGATCTCACTGGGGCTGTCTGCTGTCCTTGCAGTGCTCTTCCAGAAGCTTCCTCCCACCGAGTACCCCCTGTACCTGCGGCTGCTGGCGGGCCCTGACACCGACGCGCTGAGCTTTGTGCTGAAGGAAAACGAAACAGGGGAAGTTGAGGTACATTGGTGACTTTTCCTTGTTTTCACACAAATATAGAGCACATGGCAGAGCTGGGAGATGTGTGACAGAGGCAGCACAAAAAGGGCTGTTTCCCTCTAAGAGGTCTTTTATTGCTCCTGAATGATCTGGGTTTTTTAAAACAATTCACACTTGATCTGGGTTTTTTAAACAATTCAAACTTGAGTCTTTTTTTGCTCCTGAATGATCTGGGTTTTTAAAACAATTCACACTTGATCTGGGTTTTTAAAACAATTCAAACTTGAGCTGTGGAAATGCTGAGGCCAGTTTTGATGGCCACTCCATAATCTGTTTATGGAACCCGGCAGTGCAGCCCCAGGGTTAATCCTCTCTAATTAGATTAGCTGAGCACTGTTATAAGTAATCCACTAATTTAAGTAAAAGCCAGGGACACTCAGGTAATAAATTCACAGCCAGTTTTGGGTTGAAATCTTGCTCTCCACCACAGTGAAGCAAATGCTGGGAGCTGCTGCATCCTGCAGGATTCTGCTTCTCATTTGGGGTGGGAGGATTGGGATGGTCCTTCCTGCTGTAGCCCTTTATCCCATCCTTCTCACCACTCGAGGTGAAATCCCTGGAGATCAGACACATTTAAATGTATTTTATTGCTCCTGCTCACAGATTGAGAGGTAAGAACCCACAAAGCCCAGCAGGTGTGTGCTCACTTTGCCTCTCTGCTGGTTTTGCAGTGGGACGCCTTCTCCATCCCGGAGCTGCAGAACTTCCTGATGATCCTGGACAAAGAGGAGAAGGACAAAATCCAGCAAGTGCACAAGAAGTATGAGAGGTTCAAACAGAGACTGCAACAGACCCTGAAAGAGGCCAGAGGCAAACCTGGATAACCTTCAGGAGGCACTGGGCATCAGACTAAGATAGAGACTGTTTTTAATGAAAAGACTTCTCAGGACACCTTAGTAGTCATTCTCCCTCTTCAACCTTCCTTAAGGACTGGCTCCCAGCACCCCTAAAATGATCCTATTGCATTTTCTTCTTCTGAAACCTCTTCTCCCAGGACCAGAGCCAGTCCAAGAACGGGAAGCCTGTTTATAAAACAGCTTCAACAAAGCAAACACAGCTGCTGGTTGGATTTCCAGCCGTGCCATCCTCTGGAGAGGCTGCGTGGAAAATCCTCAGTGTGACACCCAACAGGACCCCTGTGCTGGCTGAAGTTTGGAGCAGGGCAGCTCTTGCTCTTCCTGCTCCTCCCAGCGAGCTGCTTGTTCCTGTTTGGAGGTGCTGTGGCCCACAGTGCCCTCATGGCCCAGTTCTGGTTTCGTAAGGAGAGCACAGGAAAAGGGGAGGAGGTTGTTGCACCAAACCACGTGGGTGTTGCAGCTCTAGCCAAGCCCTGGACTTGTTCAGGGCTAAGGCAGCCAGGGAAATGCCAGGTTAGGACACCAAGGCAGCTGCAACACCCCAACAGTCTGTTAGTAAATATTATTGCAACTTGGTAATAGTAATTCCCAGGAAAATCATTCATTTTGATTCTATTTGACTTCTAATTTTGGAAAGAGCTGAATTACAGTAACTGTCCCTGATGCTTAGCCAAGTTAGCCAGGGTTTCACCAGTTCTCTACTCTGTAGGAATTGGGACCTATGTTCCCAGAAATTCTGTTTGAAAAGTGTAAAGGTGATGGTTGGGGCACAGGCTGTGGGTTCAGTGTTGAAGGTTTAGCAATATATGTCCATCAGAGGAACCCAGGAAAGCTCAAAACCCCTTCACAAATCAGATTTTGAGCTGTGAGTGTGCCTGGCCCCGAGGGAGAGGAGCCCCATCCAGGGCTGGGGTGTGGAGGTGGCACCAAGGAAGGGAATTCCTGTCCTTGGATGCTTTCTGCTCGCCTCACCTGGGCTTCCTCCTGCTCCTGCTGTCCCAGCCCTGCTGTCCCTGTGCCCTGTTCTCCCTCCCCACTCTCAACTGGTGCTGTCCTGCATGTCCAGGAGGCTTCCCAGGATTTGCTCTCTCCGTGGAGCCAGGAGAGGACAGCAAGTCTCTCTCTGCCTGTCTCAGGGCTGCCACCACACCATGCTGAGCATCCCTCAGCAAAGTCCTCGAGCTGCAGGCTGGGTCCCTGCCCTCCCTCCTGCTGCTGAGGCCGTGCAGGGGTCACTGCTGGGCTGCAATGATCCTGGGGGAGAGGATGGGCCCCGTGTTTACCCTCAGTGCTCCATACCGAGCACGCTGCACACAGCCAGGGCCAGCCCTCCCTCTGTTCACAGCCCAGGGAACGGGGAATGTCAGTGCTGGATTGGGATGGAGCAGGGACGGGGTTGGTGTGGGCTCATGGAGCTCACTGTGGCTGCTGGGAGGCAGCCAGTTATTGGGGAATAGGGAGGAGTTCAAATTTACCTCAGTGCCTTTTTTTTCCCTTAAGTGTGAAAACCTTGCATTTGGGCTAAGGAGGAAGCCGTGCAGAGCCTTGTCCCTCCTGTCCCCACAGCACTGGTGTGACGAGACCCTCGTGTCTGGGGAGGGATGAGGAACTGCTTTGTTTCTTTCTGGAAGGTGATTGCTTGGGATTATTATTTTTTTTTTCCAGATTTTGTTTCTAAACCTTAAGAGAGTAACTGCATTACTTGGTGTGAAAGCCGCTTTCTGCCGAGCTCAGTTGCAGCTCCTGTTGTGGTCAGCAGTGAGGGTTTGTTTGCTCGCAGGGCTCTCTCTGGTGCAGAGGAGCCTCCAGCTGTACTGTACTCTACACCCAACGACCTTTAACACCCGCCGTGCTCTGGGGCTGTTTGTCCAGCCACAGGCAGACTTAGCACTTCACTGTTCACTGGTGGAGTCATTGAAATGCCGTTTATCTGGTGCTTTGAGCCTTGAGAGCACCGTATAAATACTTCAGTTCCACCGTGGGGAAGAGCGCTGTAGAAACTGCCGGTGGCTCTCAGAGGGAAGAGCCACACGCTTGGTTTGAAATCCCTTTTCTTTCTGGCTGAAAGTTGTGCAGGTTTAGTTCTAGTTTTATTTTTATGTTGGTGTCCCCTGTCCCTTCCTGGCCCCAGCATGTCTTTGACAGTTTGTAGAAGGCATGGCTTCGTATGCAATCACTGTGGATGCTGCTGAAAACCTCCTGCACCAGCAGGGCTCGTTCTTTTGGGTTTTTTTTGGTTTTTTTTCAATATGAGGGGCATTTGAGGAATTGGTAGGTGTGGAAACTCAAATTCTCAAGGGTCAGTTGAGCTGGTTTTAGGAGTATTTGCCCCTTCTTTAAGCGCAAATCCTGTTGGCAGTGCCTTTGGTTAGCAATTGTCTCGTGTAAGTTTATTTTCCATGGCTACTGTAAAACCTGTAAAATAATGTGTATAGGATGGAATAGTAGAGCTTCTATGGCAAAGTGAAATGCATTTTTGCAATGCTGTAATTTATTTTTACTACTCCCTAGTGATTCTATGGCATTTTTACAAAATGTCTCACTCTCAACTTTTTTTGAAGGTTCTGGAACTATTTGTTCATACGCAGACAGTGTAAGAGAAATGAGAATAAAGCTGTCAGTAATTAAAGAAATCTCTTGAACTTCTTTTTCTGGTGCCCTCCTATGGAACGTCAGTGGATTTAGCCTAAAGGGAAATACAGGAATCCTTCCTAGAAGTGAATTTAAATTTCCTAACTTACTGTTAAAGAGCTAAAGAATATTCACACCTGTAAGACCTGACCAAAGTGTTCCATTAATTTAATCTTTTAGCTGGGGCTGACAGAACTGTTACCTGTGATAAATTACAGCTCATGTCATCCATTTAGATGTATTTTTATATATAAAAATAATATAAACTACAGAAGTCCAGCTAATGCAGTTAATTCTCAATGCTGAAATGTCTGAATTCAATATGTGGAAATTTTTAAAAAGTTTAGAAAGATAAAATCTCAGCCAGAGGGGTTTTACTCAGTGGCAGAACACACTGCACTGTCCCAGGATTGTGTTGGAATGTATTTTTCTCATATTTCAGAGGAGATTTATTCCACATCCTTGATCAAAGATGCAAAGCAAGAATGTTAAACCACCCAAAAACCACTGTAGCATCCAGTGCTTCAGTATCAATTTCCATTAAAAAAATTCACAAGAGAATAATGCCAAGGGGTTTATTGAGCTTTTTATTTTTATGAAAAAGGAACACCTGGAGTACAATTATTATTATTATTATTTGGGTGAATTCCAGACCTTGTAAACATCCAGGACTCATTGTGGAATGAGCAGGGCCTGTGCATGATCCTTCTATAAATAATGAAAATACTGAGAGCTGAGCAATCCTTAGAGCTGATTTTCCTCCTACTTCTTGCGGCCAAGCTTTGGAGCCTTGTCCAGGCCCTGGATGTATTTCCGAGGTAGCTGATATTCTTCTGCAACACAACCAAGAGCTCACTTCAGCTAAGGAACACCTAAAGAATTGAAACATCTCAGTTTGGCTGCAAGCAGCCCAGTTCCAGAACCTTCTTACCAAGCAGCATCTTGGCCAGATGATGGATTTGGTTGCCTTGGATCTGGACCTGGACTCTGTCCTTTGTTCCTGGTGTTGGGCTGATGGTGGCACTGGCTTGGACCTTTTGTTGGAGAGTGTTGGCCACACATTGTGGGTCCAGACCATACAGCTCAAGGTTCTTGATAATTGTCACCTGTGGGGTTAAATGATGATTGGAAACATCACTGCTGAAGGGTTAAATAATGATTGGAAACATCACTGCTGAAGGGTTAAATAATGATTAGAAGCATAACTGCTGAAGGGTTAAATAATAATTGGAAGCATAACTGCTGAAGGGTTAAATAATAATTGGAAGCATCACTGCTGAAGGGTTAAAAAGTGATTAGAAACATCACTGCTGAAGGGTTAATAATGATTGGAAACATCACTGCTGAAGGGTTAAATAATGATTGGAAACATCACTGCTGAAGGGTTAAAAAGTGATTGGAAACATCACTGCTGAAGGGTTAAATAATAATTGGAAGCATCACTGCTGAAGGGTTAATAATGATTGGAAGCATAACTGCTGAAGGGTTAAATAATAATTGGAAGCATCACTGCTGAAAGGTTAAATAATAATTGGAAACATCACTACTGAAGGGTTAAATAATAATTGGAAGCATCACTGCTGAAGGGTTAAATAATAATTGGAAGCATCACTGCTGAAAGGTTAAATAATAATTGGAAACATCACTGCTGAAGGGTTAAATAATAATTGGAAGCATCACTGCTGAAGAGTTAAAAAATTATTGGACTCACCACTGCTGAAGGGTTAAAAAGTGATTAGAAACATCACTGCTGAATGGTTAAATGACAATTGGAGTCATCACTGCTGAAGGGTTAATAATGATTGGAAGCAGCAGTGCTGTGCATTTAATAATGATTAGAAACTAGTAAAGACTGGAAATATCACTGATAAAGGTTTAATAATGACTGCCAAAGCTGCCCTCAGGATCTGGGATTTCACCTGCTCAACCCCCCTCATTTAATTGTCTTTTTTCACCTTCTTGTTTGATGATCTCTGTGCTATGCTGATGTCAATGGGCTCGATGTTTCCTTTCCTCACCACGGGTTCTTGTCCAGAAAATGTCACCTGGTGTAAGGGCTGCAGTCGTTCCAGGCACCTGGACAAAACAATAATCTGTGGCATTCTGGGAAGGGATACTGAGCACAAGCACCTGCTCAAAAGGATGTCCCATTTAAGGTGTGAGATCTCATCTTGCTCCTCTTTATCTCCAGGAAATGACAAATCAGGCAGCTCCCACCATGGGGTTTGAGTTGCAGGCAATAAATCTGTGCAGTTCTGGGAAGGGATATTGAGGGAACAATCACCTGCTCAAGAGTTCATCCCATTTAAGGTGTGAGATCTCATCCTGCTCTGATTTATCCAACAGGCAGTCACACAGAATGGCATTCACCTTTACAAAGCTGCAAAACAAAAGCACACAGAAGGAGCAAACCAGGTCACTTTTTTTCCTCTAATTTCAGCCTCTCCTGCAGAAGCAGGGGAGGAAAACTTCCACCTGTACTCACTTTTTGTTTGTTTCATCAACCAACTCATTACTCTTCACGTAGTTAATGATGATGTTTCTCACCTCACTGCTTGAGAGGATGCTGCCTTTTCTGAGGACAAAGAGAATTTTGAACTCAAAGTATTTGGGAGTTGGGTTCTGGCAGTAAGAGAGAAACAGCAACTACAGTTTTGTTGGTCTCTCTCTCTTTTTTTTTTTTTTTTTGTGCTTACCTGTGTCCAGATTCCTGAAAGAGTGGGATCATTTTTGTGGAGACCCCATAGAGTGGAATGATTTCAGGAGCATGGTACACTTGTTCTCTCTCTTCACTCTTGCTGTCTTGGGCAGCAGAGGCTGAGGAAAATCCTTCAGGCACTGCAAATGCTTTAATGCTGCCACAAGAATTGTTTGGTGTGAGTAGAAGGGATGGAAACAGAGCTGGAGGCAGCAGATTCCACTCCCTTCTTTCAGAGACTCCCAACTCCTTTAAAGGCTGATATTGTTCTACGTACTCTGGGTGTTTCCAGTCCACGTCCACGATGCTCTCCACACCTCTGCTCAGCTCCTTCACTTGCAAGATCCTCTGGTGCTGCATGCATTGCAGGAATTTAGAGAACTGAAGGAAGCAACAATCAGAAATGTGGAGTCAAGTATTTTCAACTCCTGCTCTTGTGTTTTAAACTTTTTCTCTTTCTCTGTTACTTATTAAAATTAATTTTTTAAAAAACCACCCAAACCAACAGAAAAATCTCACCTTCTTATAGCTTGATTTCTTTATGTCCAGTTGTTTTCCAGCAGGGCTATAAATGGATTTTTTAAAAGTTCTTTAGTTATGAGTCACCCTTCATTTCTTCTTAAATCTTGCTACTTATGCTAGAAGTTTCTTAACAGCAGGAATACAAATCACACAGAGGAAGAGCTACACCAAAGAAGCTGATAAATAGAATGTGATGAGTGAAATTAGTGCTGATGATCTTGAGGCAGGCAGCAGCCACTCAGGTGACTAAACCATGGTGAAACCAATGTCAGCCAAGTTGGCTCCCAAGTGCAAATCCAGGTCTGGACAATCCTTACATCCAAGTATTTAATAGAAGGATTGTATATGATCAAAGTATTTGATGGCAGAAGTGAGAATAACCTTAATTAAGAACTGGAATTCATTTTTTACTCAAAACCTGTTTCCTAAATATCCCACACAATCTTCACATTTTAAAGACCAAATCCCAGCATGCAAATCCCAATTCCATCTCCTTCCCACGTACCAGCAGGAGACCATGTGGCTGCCTAGAAATGTGCTGGTGAGCAGGGGGAGATCTGACTTCTTTACTCTGCATTTTAAAGCATGGAAAAAGCACTGATTAAACAATGCATCCATTTGCTCTGCAGGGAGAAAAAAGGACAGGTAGGCAGTGAGTTGTCTGTGAGCTTCAGCAAACCAAAGGGGCACAGTTTGGTTTTCCTGGGATCTGAAAATACCTTGTGGGGTCCTGCTGTCCTCAGCCTCCTGCTGGTCCCCTGTGCTGGCATCCTCAGCTGGTTCTGCAGCTCTGTTCTCATGGAGCTCCTCCTTCCCCAGCAGCTGTGCACGAGTGTCTGTGTCCCTCAGGCTCAAATCCCTGATGTCCACGTGCTGCTCTGGCTCAGGGGAGCAGCTGCTGCCAGGCTCCTTCCCCTGCAGCTCCTCCTGGTCTCCAGCACTCTCCATTGCAGCAGGATCTGTCACCAAGGGAGCTAAGGTAGGAGGAGAAGATTTGTCACCATATTCCCTACAAAAGGAAGAAAAAGCAGAACACAGCTTTCCTTTTGCTGCTTTCAACCACAGGACAGTGAACAGATGTCACCCTGAATAAAGGAACTGGCACCTGCATGGGTCTTTTTCTGCAATCTCTGAACTGTAAAATTTACTTTGAACTCATCTTCCTCCATTAATTCCAAATAAAGTTCCTATCTGAGCTGTACCCAAATAATTCACTAAGTTGGCCTGACAGATTAATCTCAGATTTGGGTTTCAGTAAACACACGAGACCTGTTGCCCATTTTCCCCCAGGCCTGGCAGTTACCCACCAGAGGTGATCCAGGTGAGTGTGCAGCACAGCAAAGCCCTTCCCTTTCATTCCAGCAGCCAGCATCTCCTCCGTGGACATGGTGGCAACTCCAACTGCCACGGGAGCTCTGGGAAAGAAGGGAATGTTGGAGCAGGACCACACAAACACCCAGTGCCACTGCACACAGGCTGTGCTAATGTGTCACACTGAATTTATTTTACAGCCTCCCTGCTCTTTACAAATTGTGGGTTTCTTTTCAAGGTTCTACATTTTTTCTGGTATGTAAGGTTTTTCAAAGAATCCTGAGCCTGGATGAAGTGAAGGTTGTGCAGTGACACATTCTGGCTTTTAATAAATGACAAGAAGTGCATGCACTGCCAGAAGAGACCAGCAGTGAGAGAGAACCAATGGCTTTAACATTCCCTGACTCAGAACTTCCACACAGACACAAAGACAACTGTGCAGAATTCAATATTTTGTTAAAAACATTGGTC